ATTCAAATCCACAGAACGTTTTTGGTACCTGTTTTTTTGGTGTACTATTGACACATTATGAGTTTTACAATACTTTGCAATAAAATGTCAAAGAATTTTTCGAATGAAGATATTTTTATGACTTTTTCTCTTTGCATTCATAAATCGCAATAAATGTGTCTAAAATTTTGTAAAGAAATACCCACACCAATAAAAATTAGCCTTCCTTTTAAAGCCCTTTTTATAAAAAAAATAAAAAAATAGGTAAAAATCGCCAACCGGGTTTGAACCGCGTGCCCCATGTTTCATAAAGTGAGTGCGCAACCGCATGAACTACAGTTGTAATCTGTGAGATGACAGTGATTGTATGTACTTTATGCTAGTTCAGTTTCATTGCTTAGAGACTTCTATATTCGCGCTATTTTATATTTTTTTGAAATGCAATTTTTCCAATGAAAATGCGTATACCCAAATAAACATATTAACAGAAATTTGTTAGGAAATCGTGATACCTTCAGCTTTTAAGAAGATTTCGTGAACATGACCCTTTTAAATTCCTCAGAATAGATTTAAACATTATTGAAATTGTTTTATTTATGTCTTGCATTGAATAGGATATTTATTATTGTTATTTAAGAAGGATGATATTTGACATTCTATTTCTCCCATTTACATACATATATGATTTTTGCTTTTATTATATGTTTTATTTAACGATATAAAAATGTTGAAAATTTTGGAAAAAACATTTTTTTGCTTCAACGTGTACTTTTTTTTTAAAAAACGCGCTTTATTTTTCACATGTTTGTCAATGTGTGATTCACTGATCTTTTAATTATGCTGTCGAGCGCGTGTTACACACACACACAAACAAACAAAAAAAGCTTACTGTGTTAGGGTGGTTTTGTAGCAGAAAAATTTAACGTTCTGCAATTGTGTTGTTGTATTGCAGCGACAAGCAAAATGATCTCATTTGCACAACGTCGAAATAAGTTTCACGTTCATACACACAGAAATACACTGATTTGCCACATGTTAAAAGTTGTCTTCGGTGGTCGAAGTGGTAAGCCGGTTGCTGTCTTATATGGGTGCGTTTTACAATAAGGTCGTAGGTTCAAACCCCACGGCTGTCGTTTTAATTTATTTGACAACTAAATTTTTAGAAATTTGATGTTTTATCCGCTTTAAACCTTCTTTTTTAGCTTTTTATTTTTCCTTAGTTATATTAAAAAAAAATATTCGAAATAAACAATAATGATAATTATAAGAATTTTAAAAAGCGTTTTAAAAAATTAAAAAAGTAGTGTTGGCGGGTTATTTGGGATACCACTTGTATTTTGTTTTTTTTTTTGCAAAATAGTCAGGCTGAAACTCTCTTAACCCTCGGTGAACGAAATAGTTGTTTTTTTTTTTTATAAAAACAACAAACTGGAATTCAGCCTGACTATTTTGCAAAAAAAAACAAAATACAAGTGGTATCCCAAATAACCCGCCAACACTACTTTTTTAATTTTTTAAAACGCATTTTCATTGGAAAAATTGCATTTCAAAAAAATATAAAATAGCGCGAATATAGAAGTCTCTAAGCAATGAAACTGAACTAGCATAAAGTACATACAATCACTGTCATCTCACAGATTACAACTGTAGTTCATGCGGTTGCGCACTCACTTTATGAAACATGGGGCACGCGGTTCAAACCCGGTTGGCGATTTTTACCTAATTTTTTTATTTTTTTTTTATAAAAAGGGCTTTAAAAGGAAGGCTAATTTTTATTGGTGTGGGTATTTCTTTACAAAATTTTAGACACATTTATTGCGATTTATGAATGCAAAGAGAAAAAGTCATAAAAATATCTTCATTCGAAAAATTCTTTGACATTTTATTGCAAAGTATTGTAAAACTCATAATGTGTCAATAGTACACCAAAAAAACAGGTACCAAAAACGTTCTGTGGATTTGAATGACTTCTGAAGATAAAATGATACAATTTTTACCTGTTTTACAGAAATTTTACAATATAAATAAAATAAAAAAAATATACGAAACTGATTTCGGATATAAATTATACATATTAGAAAAAAAATTGGAAAAATTTTCAATATCCGAAATTGATTTCGGATATAAACTATATATACTCTGAAAGCCCATGGACTGACCTTTCCATCGTGGGTATTCGCTTAGTCCCAGGTTTTGAAATTTTCGGACAGTGGGCCTAACAGTTGGACCATATCAGATATCAAAAAATTTACAATTTAAATAAAGTCAAACAATTTATTATATCCGAAATTGATTTCGGATACAAACTATATCTTTTCTGAAAGCCCAAGGAGTGATCTTTCAATCGCGGGTACTCGCTTAGTCCCAGGTTTTGGAATTTCGGGACAGTGGGCCTAATAGTTGGACCATATCAAATACCAGACCTTCGGTTAAATTGTACAATTTTAAAAAAAGTCGAAAAATTTATTATATCCGAAATTGATTTCGGATATAAACTATATATATTCTGAAAGTACATGGACTGACCTTTCCATCGTGGGTATTCGCTTAGTCCCAGGTTTTGAAATTTTCGGACAGTGGGCCTAACACTTGGACCATATCAATTACCAGAAAATTTACAATTTAAATAAAGTCAAACAATTTATTATATCCGAAATTGATTTCGGATACAAACTATATATTTTCTGAAAGCCCAAGGAGTGATCTTTCAATCGCGGGTACTCGCTTAGTCCCAGGTTTTGGAATTTCGGGACAGTGGGCCTAATAGTTGGACCATATCAATTACCAGAGCTACTGTTAAATTGTACAATTTTAAAAAAAGTCGAAAAATTTATTATATCCGAAATTGATTTCGGATATAAACTATATACATTCTGAAAGTACATGGACTGACCTTTCCATCGTGGGTATTCGCTTAGTCCCAGGTTTTGAAATTTTCGGACAGTGGGCCTAACACTTGGACCATATCAATTACCAGAAAAATTACAATTTAAATAAAGTCAAACAATTTATTATATCCGAAATAGATTTCGGATACAAACTATATATTTTCTGAAAGCCCAAGGAGTGATCTTTCAATCGCGGGTACTCGCTTAGTCCCAGGTTTTGGAATTTCGGGACAGTGGGCCTAATAGTTGGACCATATCAATTACCAGAGCTACGGTTAAATTGTACAATTTTAAAAAAAGTCGAAAAATTTATTATATCCGAAATTGATTTCGGATATAAACTATATATATTCTGAAAGCCCATGGACTGACCTTTCCATCGTGGGTATTCGCTTAGTCCCAGGTTTTGAAATTTTCGGACAGTGGGCCTAATTGCAAATACCTACAGTGTTGCTGCATGTGCAGTAATTTTTATGTTTTATTAAATTGGGGTAGCGCATTTGGTAATTTTGTCCTAATCCTACTTATTTTTATTAATTTTAAATAAAAATAATCGTAAAATCTATTAAATTTGATTATTTTTCAATTCTGTTAACCTTTTAAAAGAGCTCTGTTAATGGCTTAACAGAGCTCTGTTAATAACATTACAATTTAACTTTCAACAATTTATCTTCACGCTCATGGCTATACCTAGGGGAATTTTTTAAAGAGAATGTCAAACAAATTCTTGTGAATAAAGAAAAATGTGCAATCGGCAACAATTTTTAACTGCTATTTGGAAAAATCTAAAAATGTGTGTGGTTCTTAAAAATAATTTAAACGAAACATACTGAGGTGACTCCTATTGGTACGTCTGCTCAGCATAAAAGTAAAACAGCGTTATAATCATGTGAAATTCACTATTTTCGCCAAAAATGTTAAGATTTCATTGATATCAAAACTAGTTTCCTATTTCGCTCTACTTAACCACTATTTGCGCCTATGTTTCCTCTCTCTCTCTCTCTTTTTGTATTGTTCTCTCCCTTCATTCACATGGTGGTTGTTAGTTTTTGAACCAATTTTATTAATACTATTTCTCTTGCTAACAATCGCTGTCTCTTCACTCACTTGATGGTGATTAGTTTTGTATTCCATTGTTTCCTTATTTCAGGCACTGCTACCGATCTCGGAATTGGTGTTATAAAATTCACATATGCATTTTCCAAAATATTTTTATATTGGAAAATGCAATATTGGCTAAAATTTTTATACGGATTCTGATTGAGTATAAAATCTTCTTGACTAAAATTATCAATATTGGTCAATTGGAAACCCCATTATTCCGCATTTTGGGGGTTTTGGGCACATTCCTACCAAAATTTATCAATACGAGATAGATCTATGGTTCCTTCACCAAAGTTGCTTAGAATTGTCCATAGAATCACAATAATATATTCCCCATATAAGGGTTGCGACCCATTGTCAATGTTTTTTAGGTTTAACCGAATTTTCTCATCGAAATGGCGATAATTTGGTATTCCGGAACATTAGAGGCTAAAACATATGTAAATGTCTTACCATATTTTCGTATTTTTTAGGGTTTAGCAATATTTTCCCAACGATACTTATATTAAAATAACAGTTATATATTAAAATAATACTTAAATAATGTTTTCTTATTTTAAAAGGTTAATATTGCATCCTTTATCCTACCCGATAAAACACGGCCATTGTATGATACAAATTCCATACTTCAACCATTTGTCCTGCCATTCCACCAGGCCTATTGTCTGACTGTCTGTCTTTCAAATATTTGCAACAAAATTTTTATTTTCACATTGCGTGTCTAACTGAAAAGAAGCATTTAAATAACAGTTAAACGCTTAAACAAATACAATTTGTAGCTATTTTGTTTGCCGTTTTTGGTAGTTCGCTTGAAATTTTATTTCCCAAAAAATAAAATTAAAGTATGCAGCAACAACAACAACAACAAAAACAAATAACACACAAAAAAGACAAACATTTAAAATTGTTTCACTTCACAATTGTTGACTTCTCCACACAAAAACACACAACATGTTGGGAAACCTCTAACGCCACATGCCATCATATGCAGATCAGCCATGTGTCCGTCCGTCCGTCCGTCTATTTACAATGTTTACCCAGGAACGTTAGTTTTTACAAAAGAAAACAAAAAACAAATAAAAATTTTGAATGACAGTAGCAACAACTCCAAGAGAAGTGAACACTCACATCACATATCCATTCGCACACGCTCACTCCAAAACGTTTATCACGATCGAAATTATCATGCAAGTGTTTAGGCTGCTTTTGCCATGATGACTTACCATAAAATGGAATTATGTGCAAACTATTGTTGCAATAACGAAATAAAATAAACAAAACGATAAAAATAATAATAATAATAATCCGCATGTAATTCTTTGTTAATTGTCATCAGAGTTGTTGTTGTTGTTGTCGTCGTTATTGCCGTTTTAATAATAATCTCTTTTGTTTTGATTTTCGAGTTGCTGTTGTTGTTGTTGTCTATGTTTCTGCGAAATATTTTTGAACATAAACTGGAGCATAAAATATTAATTTAGTTCGCATCCGCTTATGCTTTGTCTATTTGCAGATCACTTCAGCTATAACGAACCAGAGAAATGGCAAGTGGATTTCCCACAATGCGGTGGCTTTAAGCAATCACCCATTATTATATCGACACCAAAGGTAAATATTTTGAACCGATGAAAAAGTAAATAATTATTTAGGTTCGCTCAAGCCGAACGATTTGTATCATGGGGGGGGGGGGAAATAAAAATATTTGTTATTTTTTTTAATTCATGTTGTTGTACTTTTTTGCAAGGTCAAATTAATGCAAAATCGGGCCAACAAATAGCTAAAATCTTCAAATTCTGCCAATCAAGCGAATCGAACAAAATTTATTTCTTTTCTTGTGATTAAGAAATCTTGATTAATATTTTGAGAAACTATGAGTTGTTTTAAGGAAGCCATTAAAATATTTTCTATCTTTGGTGAAAATATTATGATGAGCAATGTTTGAAGCTGGGTAAAAATACGATACACGAAGTAAGAATAAAATCGGTTAATCACGAAGTAAGAATAAAATCGATTAATCACGAAGTATGAATAAAATCGGTAAGACCGACAGTATATTCATATATGGACTTCAACATTGTCTGCTAATGACATATTTTTTGATCGCATCCTTATCATAAACCTGATGACAATAGGAATTAGAACCAAAAGTATTTTATTTGTTTTTCTGGTCGCTCTAGGGACACGGAATTTTACATCGGGGAAACGCTAAAGAATAAGCTTACTGAACAGGTAATATGGACCAATAATTTTATGTGAAAAATTACAACATTTGTGGACTATGGTGTATTCATTTATTTCAGAAAGACAACGATGGAATGCGGGAGCTATGCGTAAATAATTACAGGGGTTTACGTATTCTAATATTGTTTAGTATTACCCACTAGAAGGCGGAACTATCGCGCTGATAGCTATGCTATTTTGAAAAAGTTACGGTTTTGGTGAAGTGCGACATCTATAGTTTTTGGCAGTGTTCGTGTGAAATGAATCAATTAAGGTTTTTTTGTTCAGTTTTTCTGGTAGCTCTAGAGGCCTCATTTATAACCACAACACCAATAAATACGGAGAAGGGAATCTAGTCGGTCAATATTTTTTTTAATCCAATGAACAAAGAAATTTCGAACATAAATTAAAAAATAATTTCTCTTTCGAGATGAGCTACATGATCGAAGTTGCAAAGCCAGAGAGATACTAAATTCCCACCATTATGCAACGCGTTTAGCCGTAGCTCATCTCGAAAGAGAAATTAATAAAAACATTTACATGAAAAATCATCGGCCTAAAAAGGCATACAACTCAAAAATTCAGCTTGAGCCCGGCTGGGATTTGAACTCTGGTTTCCATGGCATCTGTTAATTGTTGTCCGGCGTCTTAGCGTTCAGAGCCACCTCTTTATCTTCCTAATGTTGCACAATATGCAGTTGTATACCATCGAAGACAAATATTCTAGTCTGTATGGAAAAAAGTTCGTCACTACAAGAAAAATCTGTTCTGAAAAAGGAATGTTCTGGTGTGATGCCAAATGTCCGAACCTTGACACGGTTGAATTTAATACGTAGATGCAATTTCGCAATATTGTTCGACATAAATACAACTTTTCAAGTAACAACGATGAGCCGCTTAACCAACGGCGAAACGCGTCGCATAACGGTGGGAATGTAGTATTTCTCTGGCTTTCCTTTTCATTGCAACTTCGATCATGTCGAAAGAGAAATTAATAAAAACTTAAACAAAATATATACCGGCTACTTCGTTTAGCGATTAAAAAAAATATGCCAGGTTTTTTAGTCATTATATTGTTTTACTTGCATATACCCTCTACTTCGTTGGCGAATGTGACAAGTATTTAAAACCCAATACCGACCACTATTAAAATTTTAGAATCATTTAGTACCTATGTTATTTTATAGTACGTTTTTCAAAACTACCTCTATATCTCAACCGTACACACAAATTCTGACCGCAACACAAATCTACTTCTATACTAAATTTGGTGTCATTTTTACCCTCTGTACTCTTGTAATACTTATTTTTAAAAACATTTCAAATATAGCTTCACCCAAATTCAAATTATTTACCAGTTAGTACACATTAATATAAATTTCCAAAACTACCTAATCTAACAATCATATGTACGAATTTCCAACACTTCCCACATACTCCAAACTTAATTCCAAATTTCAATACTCTATCGGTTCGCCTAAATTCATTTTTTATCATATTTAGTACCACTTAGAACACATAAGTACATATTTCCATTACTATCTACATCGTGCAATCCAATGGATATCTTATTACTTAATTTCAGGATTCCAGCTTTAGTGTCATTTAGTAGACATTTCCAAAACTTCCTACATACCCCAATCCAACACCCCAACAGTGATCCTTTACACCTACACCTCAACAGTGATTAAAACTTCAAGATTCTAGCTCGATCGGTTCACTCAAATCCAAATTTGATACCATTTAGTACACATTAGTACGAATTTCCAAAACTTCCTACAAAACAACATTGATCTTAACTCGAAATTTCAGGATCCCAGCTCTATCAGTTTATCCAAAATTCAAATTGTACCAAGTTTAGTACAATTTAGTATCCATAAGTATGAATTTCCAAAACTACATCCAATCTTACACTCCAACAGTAACCTTATTTCCAAATTTCAGTGTTTCAGCTCTATCGATTCACCCAACTTCATAGTTGGTACCTTTTGGTACACATTAATACAAATTCTACATATCCCAATCCTACACCCCAACCATAACCCTAACTCCAAATTTCAGGATTACAGGATTTAAATTGGACAACATTTAGTACACGTTAGTACAAATTTCCAAAACTTTCTACAAAGCCCAATCCTACACCTCAATAGTGACCCAAACATCAAATTTTACGATTCCAACTCTATCAGTTCACCCAAATCCACATTTGGTACCATTTCATACATGGGTTCACCCAAAATTTAAACTGTACAATATTTAATTCACATTAGTAGGAATTTCCAAAACTTCCTAAATAGCTCAATTCTACCTCCAACAGTGACCCTAACTCCAAATGTCAAGATTCCAGCTCTATCGGTTCACCCAAACACAAATTTGTTGCCATATAGTACACATTAGTACGAATTTTCAAAATTTAGTACGATTTAGTACTATTCGTACACATAAGTAAACAATTTCCAAAATTACGTACATATTCCAATCCTACACTCCTGCGGTAATGTTAATTTCAAATTTCAGGATTCCAGCTCCATTTGGACCTCCCATTAAAAATTGTACCAAATATAGTACCATATAGTACTTTTCGTATACATTCAAAGCCACCTCCTTATATCGACCCTACTTCTCAACCTTAATTCGCATTCCAAATTTCAAGTTAATGAGTAAAGAGATAGAGTTAAACTCTATCCATTCACATGCTACGAAATTGTACCAACTTAAGTACATGTTAGTACTTTTTCGATACTTACAGTTCGAATGTCCAAAAAACCCTTTTCTACACTTCATCAATGACCCTCAATCTAAATTTCAGAATTCTAGCTGTACCGATTCGCCAAATACAAAAAGTACCAGTACTTTTCGTGTCGTTCCGAAAACCCAGCCTTATCTGACCCCTTTAGACCTTAAAGTGACACTCACATCAAATTTTAATATTCTGGCTACAACCATTCCTCTGGGCGTTGATGAATAGTTAAGTCAGTCAGTCAATCACTTTTCTCTTTTATTAGTACAGATATACTCGGGAATCACACTAAGATGTTCACAAATTTTTCATATTTTTAGTAGTAGTCAGCAGTTTTGGCAGGTTATTTGGGATAACATTTGAATTTTGTTTTTGCAAAATAGGCAGGCTGGATCCCGGTTTGTAGTTTTTATAAAAACAAATTTTTATTGTCCACCAAGGTGTAAGGCAGTTTCGGATTTCGCAACTGGTCCTCATCAGTTTCGTTTTTATAACATCAGGAGTTGAATATCTCTTGTTTGATATAGCATTTGGCATTTATATCAAAATAATTTGGAAAATGCATATGTGAATTTTATAACACAAACGCAGAAGTTGGTAACAGTGCCTAAAATAAGGAAACAATGGAATGCAAAACTAATCATATAGTGGATATAGTGGTTGTTAGCAAGAGAAACAGTAGTCAAACAAACGGTTCTAAAACTAACCAGCACCAAGTGAGGGAAGGTGGAGGCAATACCAAAACACAGCCGTACAATGAATGGTGGTGTAGGATTTGGACTACAAAATTACTGCACTGTATTAAATGCCTCTTTATGCTTTAATAAAAGTTGTGATCTCAATTTTTAATTTTCGAACATTTAGGTTTAGGTTTTTTTATAAATAACTAAATTTCTGAAATGTAACTGTAAACAATTCCGTTCAAAAATGTGTATTCAGTGTAAAGCTAAACCTATTAGTTACAATTTATAAATATTGATCCCCACTTTCTTTTACCCTTACTAGGAATTTCCGACACCGCTTTCTTACTTCACCCATTAAAAGCACTACATTTTAGTACAAGTTTCTACAAACCTGTTGTTACCTCCATCGCATTAGGTTCAACATAATAGGCCTATCAATGCTAAAATTTCAGACAATTTTTCAAAGATCAATCATGAATTTATTAAAGATTATTTTTTCATGCTAAAAAATGTGAATTTAAAAAATATATATTTTAAGGACAAATTCAAGCGTAAATGTATAAAGAGTACTAATAAAGGACCAATACAAGAGTGGGTTTTAAAATAATATTTTAAGAACTATTAGGTTGAATTTTTAAATACAACTTTTTAAGTATTTCTATTGTTGATTTATATATTTTCAAAAACTTCTGTAAACTTTAATTTTAAAGAATATTTTTCAAAGCCTGTCGGAGGGGTGGATTTCTTAAAACTATTTTTTCAACGATCATTCTTGAATTTTCTAACGAATATTTTTCCAAGAGCTTTGGCCTGATTTTTTATAGAATATTTTTCAATGACCTCTATAAGCGTAAATTTTTTGAGAATATTTTTAAAGGATCAATAGAAGCGAGGATAACCAAAGAGGATTTATTTTTTAATGGACTATAATCCTGTTTTTTTAAGAATACTTTTTTCAAGGACACCTATTTGGATTTTTTAAAGAATATTTCTTCAAGGACTCCTTTAATTGGAGATTTTTAAAGAATATTTCATCAAGGACTCCTATAAGAGGGGATTTTTAAAGAGTAATTTTTTTCTGGAACTCCAATAAGCGTAGATTTTTTAAAGAATATTTTTTCAAGAACTCCTATAAGCGTGGATTTTTCAACGAATATTTTTTCAATGACTCCTAGAAGCGTGGATTTTTAAAAGAATATTTCTTCAAGGACTTCTATAAGTTGGCATTTTTAAAGAGTATTTTTTCTGGAACTCCATTAAGCATGGAGTGGATTTTTTAAAATAATAGTTTTTCAAGGACATCTATCAAACGTGGATTTTTGAGGATATTTTAAGGACTCCTTTAATCGTGGATTTTGAAATAATAATTTTTCCAAGGACTCCCATAAGCGTGAATTTTTTTAAAGAATATATTTTTAAGGATTCCTTTAAGCGTAGATTGTTTTTAATGTTTTTTCGAGGACACCTATAAGCGTGGATTTTTTAAAGAATATTTTTTCTCAAGAATATTTTTCTAGAATCAGTACGATGACTTGTAGAATGTGCATTTTAAATACAATTTTTAAGGATTAGTGGAGAATAGATTTGTAAAGAGTATTTCAGATGAACTTGTATTTAAACAACAATAAGGCCTGGATTTTTGAAGATCGTTTTTCATGTAGGGTAAAAAAGTTTTCTACATATACATTTGTGTCTTTCTAGATCCGCTCGATTTTTGACACATTAAATTTGAGATATAATTTTAAATTTTACTTCAAGTATCTAAATTTAATTAAATTATCTTTATTTTTTTTCAGTCAATTGACATCTTAATATTCCCACTGGAATTTGGTTTATACGATACACCGCTATCAAAACCCATAAGTCTTCACAATAATGGACATACAGGTTAGAACTACATTAAACCTATTTAAATTGTACATTTTATGAAATTAATTATCCCATCTTTAGTGGAATTTAAGATCCCCGAAACAATGTCGGGTGATAAACCCTATATAAGCGGTGGCTTACTCGACGACACTTACGAAGTTGAACAAGTACATTTCCATTGGGGTTCACCGACACGCAAAGGTTCCGAACATATCATCAATGGGCATCGTTATGATATTGAAATGCACATACTACATCGGAATACCAAATATCCAAGTGTGGAAATTGCAAGGTTATTTGAGGATGGTTTGGCTGTGGTGGCGGTGCTATTTAAAGTTGTCAAGGTAAGGAAATGTTGAAATAATAATAAATTAAAATTTATGAGGAACCAAAATGAGGTCAAAGTTCCCGATGCCTTTAAGGTTATGCATGTTTTTTACCAAGTATTTAACTATTTAAGATAAAAATTAAAGCAATGTAAAAAAATCCAAGTCATAGCCTGAGGGTGGAAAATTCATTATGGAGATTAAAGCCATTGGCAATACAAGCGTTTGTTATTAGGAAGGAAAAATACGAGAAGATCAAGTATAAAACGATATTTATTGACCCCCAAGTATTTATAAAAAAGAGTCCCAACGACAAGAAATCGATATTCGTATATTTTTATAAACCTTTCCACTTTTACACGATTTTTAACCTATGGCAAAATTGTACTTTTGGGTTCCTATATACCCGCCAAGGGCTTTCATCCCCATAAAGAACTTTCCACCAACCGAAATCTTGTTGCACAGTGTAATTTTTTGATTTGTATTCCATGGATTCTTTCGTCTTATTGATTTCCACATTTTTATTTTTTCTCCAAATTTAGTCAGAAAATGTTTTCTATCCGGGTTTAAATCTAATTTACAATAATCTACAAAATGTGCAATCCTTCAACTCGACCAGTGATACAATGCATTTAATTACCCTCGGATCGCTGTTGGGTAATATTAATCGTGAAGATTTTTATACCTATCAGGGGTCGTTGACCACACCACCCTGTTCCGAGGCCGTAACATGGATAGTATTTTCAGATGTTCTGCCAATCTCCTTCAAAGAGGTAAATTTCAGAAATTATCACCAGCCAAAATTTTTAAATAACGATTTTCATGTTTTCTTTTTTAGCTCCCCAAATTCTGGAATATTTTAAATGAACAGGGCAATAAATTTGTCAATGTACGACCGATACAAAATAATGGCTTTCGCAAAGTTTTTCATCGCAAACCATTAATACAATTTAAATATTTGGGTTAGCCAGCAAGGAGTTTAATTCATGGAATTTATTTATATTGAATATTTAGTTGTATTTTGATAAATATTTAAAAATGTAGATATATTTTTTATATTAAGTTAGCCAAATACCTTTTTGTACAAATACTATATATATTTTCTAATAAATAAAATTGTTTAAAAAATAGAAAAATAAAATTATATACTTTTTATTTCAGAATGATAAATAAAATTTACAAATCTGTTATCATACCTCCCGCATATCAACACTGTTATTTAAAGTTATTTACATTTCATAATTATTTGCACAAATTTTCAAAAAAGATTACCATTTCACAATTATTGGTTTATACTAACAATGTTGATACAATTTTTTTAATTCATATTCTAAAAACTCCTCAATAATTTTTACTACCCTATTAACCAAGCCTGATTGATGTAAACATTCCCTTGACACAACGGTTCTAATTAGCAACATACCTCTTTAACCGTTGCATTATTTCCCAACACATCTAATAAGAATAACAAAATTTAAATCGTTGGCAACACATTGATGAGCATCCGCATTGTTGAACGCTCTTTAAACAACACTCTTTTTAACATTTGTTGCCATCGAACATAACACAACGCAACATGTTTATGTATATAAACATTGTAAGACAAAAACACAGCAACATATCGTTTGCAGCATTCACGTTAACGAACTTTTATGTGGTGTACGTTGGAATTGCAATTTTCGAATTTCGAAAAAATGAATGTTGTGCTGAATTGTGCTAGGTTTGTGCCAAATTGTGCCGTAATTTTTTTCGAAATTCGAAAAACTAAGGAAGATATTCGAAAAAACATTTTTTTTTCGAAAAAATTTCACAGAATTGCAATTTTCGAATTTCGAAAAAATTAAAGTTGTGCTGAATTGTGCTAGCAGAGCACACAATTGTGCCGTTTAAAATTTTTCAATATCTCTTACCATTTTCGGCACATTTTTTCGAAATTCGAAAATTGCAATTCTGTGAAATTTTTTCGAAAAAAAATGTTTTTTCGAATATCTTCCTTAGTTTTTCGAATTTCGAAAAAAAAGTTACGGCACAATTTGGCACAAACCTAGCACAATTCAGCACAACACTCATTTTTTCGAAATTCGAAAATTGCAATTCCAACGTACACCACATCTAGTATACCATAGACAGACGACAGCCTTAATTTGCATTAAAAAGTTCTTAATTTGAATTAAAATTTACCCCTGACAGACGAGAGTTTCTGCATTTATGAACCAGTTTTTTGTTTCAAAACTATTGTTTGTCTGTGTGTAGGAAGAAAATATTGGCATTTCTTTACAATATTTTTTAGGATTACATCTTTTTGAAATTGATACATGGCAGGAAGGAAAACTAACAGCTATAATGAAGATAAAACAGCTCCAAATTTGAAGAAATGTTGAATTTTGCCTATATTTTTAATATTTATTTTCGTAAACGTAAACAAATTTGACAACAATCAATTTATTTTCTACAGCATTGCCATACTGAAATTGCTTAATTCAGTATAAATTCAGTTTGATTTTGTGCATTAACCACACATAAAAATGAGGATAATGTACAAGTTAATTTGAATTAAGGCTGTTAATGCAAATTAAGGCTGTCGTCTGTCTAGGCTATTAGCCTTGAAAATTAATTTTAAAAAATCCACGCCTATTATAACCAGTAAGGAAAGTTCAAAAGTCGGACGGGGCCGACTATATGATACCCTTCACCACTTTGGGTACCAATCTATAATTTATTAAAATTGAATGTCAATCATCGAGCAAATATTTAAAAGATCAATATATAAATTAACACAGTGCGATATCCAAAATTTATCTGGACACAAAATCCAATACAAAACATGACATGGATCAACCTAGACCTAATTAAGTACGCTGTGCAAAATTCTGTCTCAATCGGACAAATATTGGGAGTTTGGTGCACCATTTACCTAAAATCGGACGAAACTATATGTGAGAGCTATATCTAAATCTGAACCGATTTTCATGAAACTTTGCACTCATCATTTTGGACCTAATTCAGAACTCTGTGCCAAACTCTGTGCAAATCGAAATATATTTAGGGACTTTGGTGCCCCATTTCCCTTAAATCGGACGAAACTATATACGGGAGCTAAATCTAAACCGATTTTCTTCAATTTCAATAGGATTCGTCCTTGGGCCAAATTTCATCCAAATCGGAACATGAATGCGACGTGTACTTTGTTTACAATTTAACATCTACAGACGGACAAATGGAAGGACGGACGGATATGCAAAATCGACTCACAAAGTGACTCTATGCATATTTTCAAAAGCACACGGTTCCTTTTGAGAATATGCATAGAACCACATTCTTTATCTCGTTTATTTTTGCCTGTTACAAACATATGCACAAAGACATAATACCCAGTACCACAGTGTGGTGAAGGGTATAAAAATAAGCCTTGAAAAATGAATTTTAAAAATCCAAACCTATTTTTAACCCTTGAAAAATTAAAAATTAAACCTTATAATAACCCATTAAAAATATAAAATCCAAGCTTATAGTCTTAATAATCCTTAAAAAAATATTAAATGTCTACAAAAAATAGAATAGAAAAAATAGAATATATTATACTCAGAAACTAGTTACATTACCCTTTCAAATGATTTTTATTTCACTGCAATACGACCATTATTACCAGAGATACAGCCATTTAAAGAATCATCCCAACAGCATAGCACTGCAATTCAATAATATGCATGTCCAATCAATGGAACAAGCAAACGAAAGATCCACCCCCACCACCCATTTTAACTACACCACTACAATTCGAAAGCACACAACAACAACATTATTTGCTATGAACATTTATCCTCCCATTACCACCCACTTTGTGGAGCATAACAATATCACAGTAAGAGACCACACAACAAAACTCTGAGAAGAGTGCATTTGTACTCTCCTATATTCAGTTACATTCTCCCACAGTGAGTTAGTAACATCAAACAACAACCGATGTTTGGCGCCTTTTTTCTTGGAAAAGTGCAAAAATAATCTTGTTCTTACCTTTTAATCATGTCCATAAAGGGCTTTTCTTTGCAAAAAAAAAAAAAAAAAACAAGCATACACACGCACGGACGTTTAATGAACAAATAATTATTATTCTTTTAGAAAATACGATTGTAAGAAACCCCGAATAAATATCGACACACAATCTTACATTGAACGATTACATCGCAACGATTTGGACATGGAAACGAAAAGGAATATCAGTAGGAAATAAAACACATAACTACTACAACAACGCCGGCAAGCAAAGCGATTCTTCAAAAATTTATTTTTATTTTATTAAATTCACTCGCACTCAAAAACGGACATTTATTTCATAATTTTGCAAAACTAATATTCTAATTCGATCGACTTCTTTGTATTGCATTGGAACTCCCGCAACCGCACTCACGACATTTAAAGAAGAACTAAAGTCGAGTAATTTCCGAGAAGAATGAATGGATCAAACGAATGGAGAGTTACCCCACTCTACCTAGGAAGAGAGCCAATTGACAAGCAAACTCCTTTTTATTATGCACTCACACACAGAGTTGTTGGTGGCGGGAGATGTCATGAGATGAGATGCAAAATTAAATTTCTAATTAGAACTCCCCAAAATTCAGGCAATGCCATTCACAACAGAGATTAACAACAGTAATGACAATTTTGCAATTTTTGCATATTTTACGTTTTTTAGTTTTTATTTAAATGCCTATTGGTAGCCCTTGAAAAATTGATTTAAATAATTCATGCCTATCGGTAGCCCTTGGAAAATTAATTTGAATTTGTTAATTTGATTTTTAATAGTTATGAAAGCTTGTATCAATTAAAAACCCCATCTCCTTTTTGTTACCCTCGAAAACAAATTTTCAAATGTTTTCTTTATTAATTTTTTCTTTCGAGATGAGCTACATGATCGGAGTTGCAATGAAAAGGAAAGCCAGAGAGATACTGCATTCCCACCACTATGCGACGCGTTTCGCCGTTGGTTAAGCGGCTCATCAGGCATATTGGGCAATGTGGCTTACAAATGTCTTCACTTGATAAGTTGTATTTATGTCGACTATTGTTGCGAAATTACATCTACGAATTAAATTCAACCGTGTCAAGGTTCGGACATTTGGCATCACACCAGAACATTCCTTTTCAGAGCAGATTTTTCTTTCCAATTCATACTAAAACCGTCAAATCTGCAAGAAAAAATCGCTAAATTGTCATTACTGTTTCTAATCTCTGTTGTAAATTACCGTGTCTGTATTTTGGGGAGTTCTAATTATAATTTTTATTTTGCATCTCATGACATCGCCACGCACCATCAGCTCTGTGTGTGAGTGCGTAATGCAATGGAGTTTGCCAACTGGCTCTCTTCCTAGGTAGAGTGGGGTTACTCTCCATTCGTTTGATCCATTCATTGGTCTCGGAAATTACTCGACTTTAGTTCTTCTTTAAATGTTGTGAAGTGCGGTTGCGGGAGTTCCAATGCAATACAAAGAAGTCGATCAAATTAGGATATTAGTTTTGCAAAATGATTAAATAAATGGCCCCGGTAGAAGCCTGTTTTTTGTGCGCGAGTGAATTAAACAGAAATCAATAAATAAAGTAAAGAAATAAATCAATAGATCAATTTGTAAAGGAAACAAATCGTGTGCCGCTTTTCTTTAAACGTGTTGTTGTAGTAGTTAAGTCATTTACTTCCTACTGAGTTTCCTTTTCGTTTCCATGTCCAAAGTGTTGCAATATACAGTGGTGGTCACAGAATTAAAACATTTACTGTGGTAAACATTTTTTGATCAGCCCTCTATTCGTTTGAAGTATTTTTGAAAATTTTTTGATTCAGAACACTTCGATATACTGCACTCAAGAGATTTAGTGTGAAAATGGAAAATTATTTCATGTAATTTTTCCATAAATAACGGTTTTTATGAAAATACATCGACTTTGAAGTGGCCATATAATTAAAACATTGTGTGA